TAAGAAAGGGAATAGAATAAAGTATTGGAATGAAGAGTAGAATAGAAATAGAAATAGATTAGGAAATAGAATGAAAGAATAGAATAGAAATAGAATAAGAAAGGGGATAGGATAGAATAAAGTATTGGAGTGAAGAATAGAATGGAATGTGGGACGGGAAGGGAGAGACTTTCCGAATCTTATCCTTGACACAGAAAGCTGGCATATTAAAAGCCCCCCAAGGATATATGCCTGTCCTGCTCGCTCTGGACATTTGGATGCCCAGAATACCCCCACCCCCACCCCGTGTGCATTAATTCTGTGTGCAGCCACTAGGGGGCAGGCCGATCCCAGGGCTCTGGAGCTGCAGTTGGGGGTGGGTGGGGGGGGAGCTGGGTGTGGCTGGGAAAATATTTGTCTGTTTTTCTAGCTCTGGGCTCAGCCGCCCCTGTTTTCGAAGCAGGACTGGGAGGGGAGGGGCGGTGTTTCCTATGAGTCACTTGGTCCCACTTGGTTAAGTCAAAAGTCACCTCGGCACCGGCCCAAAAAGAAAGGGAAAAAGCCCCACACAGATGGCTTTTTATAGGCCCGAAAAGCTGGGGGTTAGTTCCCAACAAACTTTTACGAAAAAAGCAGAGGATTTGGTCCACTGCAGGTCTCTTCCTCCGATACTTGGAGGGACAGACTGATGTGGGAATTGAAACTGGGGGGAGCTGGAGGGGGCCTGAAAAGGCGGGGAAGGCGGCGGGTTGGGCATGCAGTTGGGAGAGACACCAGAGCCAGGTTGTGGGCAACCGTTTTGTATTGTGCAGTTGTTGGCTGGGGGAGTTTGGGAAGCTGAAGTGCAAACACCTGAAAGATGCCAAGATTGAGAAATGCTGGCCTGGACTAATCCTTCCCTCCCTTCCTTCCTTCCTTCCTTCCTTTTCCTTCCTTCCTTCCTTCCTTCTCTCTTTTTCTGTCTCCCTCCATTCTTGTTCCCCCTCCCTTCTTGCCTTCTTTCTCTGTCTACCATCCTCCATTCTTGTTCCCCTTCCTTCCTTCCTTCCTTCCTTCCTTCCTTCCTTCCTTCTCTTTTTCTCTCTCCCTCCATTCTTGTTCCCCCTCCCTTCTTGCCTTCTTTCTCTACCACCCTCCATTCTTGTTCCCCTTCCTTCCTTCCTTCCTTCCTTCCTTCCTTCCTTCCTTCTTTCTGTCTACCACCTTCCATTCTTGTTCCCCTTCCCTTCCCTTCTTTCCTTCCTTTCTTCCATCCACTCACCTACCTACATACCTATCTAACTCCTTCCTTCCTTCCTTCCTTCCTTCCTTTTTTCCTTTCCTTTCCTTTCCTTTCCTTTCCTTTCCTTTCCTTTCCTT